TGGCCGTTTTCTCGGCTCGTCCGCCTTCAAGATCGATTTCTCAGTCTCAGGGCAAAAGAGTGCCCTTGTCTCTTACCAGCTCGTTCGCCCGCAACCGTTGGCCAATAAAAGGAGTTCTATATCGACCCTAAAATCGAGGGTTATCACTTCCGCCATCCACACCGTACCGAAGCTCCGCTTCTCCGTCGTGTTTGCCGTTGTGGACTTCATCCGTAACCCTGGACAAGGGACCCTAAACAGGTACTAGTTTCCCGGGTCAGGAAACCCCCGGAATCTGCGGAGGGCAGGGATTGATTCATTTTCCCTGATAGGACTATCTTCAAGAGTTTAAAGAGTTCCTACCCGCTACCCGCTACTCCTCTGTTCAACAGAGGAACCGTTGAACACTAAAGGTGAAAAATAATACTATATAAAACTACTCCAAAAACAATCAATAAGAGAACTATTCCAACAACGTCTAGACCAAAAATTAATAGAATTTAGATACGGCAACATCGAAGAAATATACGAGCATATAAAGGCGAGTATAAAACAAGCGGCATTCAAAGCCTTTGGAAAAAATAACATATAACAAATAAACAGCACTATTATGAAATAAATGAACCAACAAAAAGGATAATTGAAGAAACAAAAAACTATACAGCAAATGAGTGACTACAAACAACGATGAAGTTTATAAAGAATATATAGAGAAAAATATAGAGAAGTAAAAAACAAATAACACAACAAAAGAATGAAGAATGGGAAAGAACCTGCTTAAATATTGAAACATACATAGGAGGTACAAGAACTTCGGAGTCATGGAAAGTACTGAGAGGATTGAAACAAAACTCAAAAGAAAAAATAAAATTGGGAAATATACACGACAAAGAATGGAAGAACTTTTACAAGGAACTGTTAACAGAACACAGACCACAATTCATTGGAAAAGAAAACGGGCGAAGATGAAGCAGATCCCCACAACCAGAAATAGAAATTACAGATAGAGAAATGAGAACAGCCATAAAAACAATCAAAAATAAGAAAGCACCGGGACCTGGAGGCATCTTACAAACAGCTCCCAAAGAAATGGACGGAGGTATAATGTGACATCTATATTTAAGAAAGGAGATAGAAAACGATGCGAAAACTACAGAGGAATAAACGTAATATCATAAATAGAAAGATTATATGGGAAGATACTGCGAGAAAAGATAGAGCAAGCGATGAAAGGCAAAATCGGGGAGGATCAGGCAGGCTTCACGGCAGGGAGATCATGCATAGACCACATATACACACTGAAACAACTGTTGGAAAAGGAAATAGCAAAAAATAGAGATATACATTTGGCATTTGTGGACCTGAGAAAGACGTATGACTCTGTACCAAGTGGGAACAAGAATAATAGGAGACTTCATCACAGCAAAAGGGCTCCTGCAGGGTTATTCCACATCTCCAACCCTATTCAAAATATACTTAGAGAAAGCCTTGACTACATGGAAAAGAAAATGTGAAGGCATGGGAGTACCGGTACGGAACGAATACCTATATATATATATATATATATATATATATATATATATATATATATATATATATATATATATATATTAAGCTTTTCAGATGATCAAGTAGTGATTGCACAAGACCAAGACGACCTCAGCTACATGATGAAGAAACTACAAGAAGAATATACCCAGGGTAGCTTAGATATTAACCTCGCGAAAACAGAGTACCTATCTACAAGTGAAGAAGACATAGAAGATCTACAGATTGATGGCAACGTAACAATCAAAGGAAAGAATAAATTCAAATACTTAAGGTTTATAATTACGAAAAAGGCAACAACAGAGGAAGAAATTACACAAAGATTAGGATAAACAAGAACAGCAATCCAATGGTAGGATAGACCCTAAACACCAACGTTGGGATAGACACCTAAATATGAAGACAAAAACACAGATTTATAAAACATTACTGCGAATTATTATGACATATGGGGCTGAAAATTGAATTATAAACAAAAAATCAGCAGTAAAATAGTAACAACAGAGATGGAATGCCTGCAAAGGTGTTGCAGATTAACAAGAATGGATAGGAGAAGTAATGACGAAATAAAGCAAAAAACATCAATAGAAACAGACATACTACCATATATAGAACAAAAAAGACTAAAGTGGTATGGACATGTAAGAAGAACTAGCGACAGCAGATTGGTAAAAGAATAAAAGACCCTGGAGGAACGATGTAGACGACGCCATGAGTAGAGAGGCCTAAGCGATGGAGAATGGGACAACAGAGAGAGATGGAAACGGTTGAGCGATGGCAGTTAATACTGTAGAATCCCTGAATACATATATTTTTCACCTAAGAAGATCGCTTTGCAATTAAATGCTGGTAACTTTATTACTAGAGGACTAGATAAGCGGTGATATATTTTACACTACCTTTATGAATAACATTTTACTGCTCTGTTATTTCAATGAGCACTGCTCAACAAATTATAGTTTATTGGTTTTAATATTTTTATTGCCATAGGACGAGTACGGAATATTTATTTAAACAGTGAATTTATTACATGTTATTTTTTTATTTCTTCTGACATATCGTATGATGTAGGTTTACCCAATAATCAAAGTTATGCCTTTATAAGAAAATATTATTTGAAAAATAAGGAGTACCTTGTGTCATAATAATTGTAATCTCCTTTATTCACACTTTAAAAATTTGTTTAGTAATGTATTTCTTAAATCCACACAACACAATCATTGCAAAATGATTCATGCTATTTAAAAATATCTTTCTGTTAACGACACTGTTAAAAAAGTAAAACAAACTTCAAACTGTTTATCGTTAAAAATTATTTGATGGTCGTGGGTTGTATTGGTGTTATTTAATAGTTTAGCCAAACCAATGCAGTGTTTATGCTTATTTAGCATTGGCTGCTAAATAATTTGTGTTCAATTGTTTCGTCTGTTCTACAAGTCTCGTTCTTTTTAGGGTGTAGTGGTGTATATAAGTACCTATTTTTTATAGCAGTGTAGTGAAGCTCTACTTTACAGTAAAATGAGTAATTTGGAAGAAAATAAAATACAGTCGAAACTTAGAGTGTTATCTCGTATCTAATTACATTAGTGAGGCCGAAATAAACAAAATAAGCCAGAGAAATTGTCGACATCTAAAAACTGTATATTTGCGCCCGTCAATTAAACTTGCAATTAAAAATATTATATATAATATGTATAACGCAAAAGAACATAATTAGTGCTGTGTTACAAAAAATAAAAGACAAGCAACTGTGTGATATTAGTTTAACAAGTTTTGTGGAGAGTTCTAAAACATTTAGGTTTTCGATACAAAAAGACAAATAATAGTCAAGTATTGTGTGAACTCTCTAATATTGTTTCAAAACGGTGAAATTTTTTAAGAAAATACATGAACAATAACACGTCTGATAGTCCGAGGCAAGTTATATTTTTAGATGAAACTTAGATTTGCAGTAAACGAAATATGTCCAAATTATCCTGGCAAGATGGTACCACGAAATGTTATTCTTCTAGTTGTTCCGGTAATGGTGCACTCCACATTATACTTCAGGCTGGAAATGATGAGGGTTTTATTCCTGACGCTAGTTTAATTTTTTCGTTCACAAAGAATACAGGTGATTACCATGGAAATATGGATGCAAATATTTTTGAAGAATGGTTTGAAGAAAATTTGTTAAAAAAATTGGAGTGACCATCCATACTACTGTTGGATACTGCATCCTACCACTCAAGAGTAGAAGAGATATTTCCTTCAAGCAGTTGGGCAAAAGAAGAAATAAAGTTGTAGTCGACAGAAAAGAAAATTTATGACAGTGACATATTTTTAAAAGTTCATTGACGTGGACTACCCACAGATTATTAAAGAGTACAAGTAATCCCTTCTTTAGCCACTCACCATGTTGCCATAGCTGATGGATTGTGTCGATACCTATTTCTCCCATTGCTTTAATTAATTTGAGGCGTTATGCCGTTTTCACCGGGAAAATTATTGTTTTTTTAAATAGGTAAAGAAATAATAAATCAGACTTACTCACAATCAATTTAATTTAACTATCCGACGACCGGTTTCGCTTTCTACAATATGCAAAGCATCTTCAGGTCTCGGTACAAAGTTAAACAAATGCTGAAATGATAAAAACCCATATTAGGGTGTTGTCTAATAAAGATAAACAAATTAGATGTTATAAATTACAATAATTATGCCAATATTACCTGTCTGTGGTTTTATTTAAATGATTAAGTTGAATAAAAGGTATAAATATTTTTTAAAAAATTAAAAGGACAAGGTAAGGCCCACAAGTTGTCATAAAATCTCTTCTATTGGAATAAATTAATGAATGAGCAAATAAATAAATGAAATAAAATAAAATTACTTACATGCCGGTACTCTATTAATAGATGGATGGTAGAACATGTTTGAAACTACTGTATATTGTTTAATGGAGAACTCAATACTATTATTGCAGTTGTTTGACAGTAAACGGGAAGTTCTTGAGTAGGTAGATTTGATCCAATGAATTTGAGATGTGTGTGAGATTGTTGGTTAAATGTAAGTGGTGTAATATATTATTGTGTTATTAAAAGTTATTTATACTTATTCCAGAGATATATTTTTGAAATGTGTGTTATTTATTGAGTAATTGTTTTATGAAGGTGACATTTATGGCAATAAATGTCACCTTGCAACAGTTTTTCCCAGTATTGTTTCCATACTTAAGCAATCTTGTTATCATCTGTGTTGATTTCTCATTCGTTAAGATTATATTCCAATTCAAAGTTCAGTTATAAATGATGGTATGCCAAGACGTCGACTGCTAAATTATTTCCCACTTGTAAAATGTTTTGAAAAGGCTTGAAAAAAACATATCACACCACTGCAATGTTGTCTGTTTGTTCAATTTTGTTAAGATCAAATGATTCTAATAACAGTTCTTATGATAAAAATGTTTCAAAAATAATGTTATGCTGTTGCAGAATTGGAATATCTTCGTCATTTTCGAAAATAAGTAATGGCAAAGCTCCATCTAGAGAAGAAATCATCCAGCCAGGATGTGGAACCGCCCCCGACCATTGTCCCAACACAATTTACCGTTCCTACGATGGTTCATGCAATAATTTAAAAAATCCAACTTGGGGAATACCCAATACGCCATATAATAGATTATTACCAGCGAAATATGCAGATGGTAAGTAAATCAAAAACGCTTACTCTATATAGCGTTTAGGCAGAGCTGTGTGCTACTTTTATTAAAGTTATATTCTTTTCAGTTCTTAATTTTATAATAATATTATACGTTTATTCAAATCAATAGTTATTACATTAATTTACAGTTTCAGTTTACTTACAATAAAATAAACGGAAAAAAAAGTCTCAAAAGCATAAGCATGCTTGTTGACATATCTGTCTAATATTGACAGGTTTATGTTTATTGTTTTTTTTTTTATTTTATTTTTACAGTTTCCAATCTAATTTCTATATTTTTTTAACTAGTATAATTTAAATTTATTAAATTGTTACACAACTCCCTTTTTTCTTTTACCTAAGCAGTAACTACTATTTAATAGAAATAAAAATTTTTGATATTTTTATAATAATTTATGGGCAATTGATTGTATATTATTGGAGCAAAATATTTAATTGGCCTTTGCGTGATTGTTTTTAAAATGTGAAGACATTCGACATTCAATTTTCTTCTTGTTTTATAATGTGACACTTTTACTTTAAGAGGAATTTTATCTTTATAAATATTTTTAAGTAGCGCTAAGCAGTACAATTGCCGAACATCAAGAAAATGAGTTTCATGAAAAAGTTGGTCTGAGGGATATGTTTTTCATTTTCCATATATTAGCTTAAGAAACCATTTCTGAATATTTTGAAGGGTCACCAAATGCAATCAGCTAGTCCACTACATCCTAAAATCCCATATACAAGATGAGATTGTACTAGCGATAGGTAAAGCATGTTAAGCTGTTCAATATCCAAAAACTCTTTTAAATAGCGGAATTTTGGTAGTAGTCATGGTATTTTTCTTATATTTTTTATCTATAAGTCCCATTTAAAGTGCCTATCAATTAAAACTCCTAAATATTTTATGTACTCTGCTTTAAATATTTGTTGTTTGTTATTTATTTTTAATGAATTAAAAGTTGGCAGAGAATTTTATATATCGTAAAAGGTATATATTTAGTTTTTTTTCATATTTAAATGTGTTTGTTTATTTGTAACCATGTTTTTATAATTTTTAAGTCTTGTTCTGCTATAATTTTACGACCTTCTCAATTATCGACCTTATAAAAAATTGCGGTGTCATCAGCAAAACTAATTATGTTTCCAACAGAAGTGTAAAAAGTAGAGGGCCTAAAACAGTTCCTTGCGGTACGCCATAATTAATTACTTCAGGATCACTTTTGACACCATCAATTTCCACAAATGGTTTTCTGTTAGTTAAGTAACTTTTTAGTAATGTCAAAACCCGTCCTCTCAGACCATACTTCTCAAGTTTTTTCAACAAGATCTCGTGAGATATCGTGTCAAACGCCTTATAGAGATCGATGAATATGCATAAAATACGTTTATTAGACTCAAAAGCTTCTGATATTTATGATGTTAGTTTACAAATAACATCTTGTGTGAGGGCGTTTGGGTCTCTTTTCGTGATAGGTTTCCACCAGGCGTTCTTATTGGTGTACGTTGAGGCATATCTTCGTTATTATTGGGAACTGGGGAAGGGGGGGCGGGACCGTTTGGGTGTCTTTTCGTGAGAACCTCCACCATTGGTCCACACGAGGATGAACTCAATTCGATGTCATGATGCCACTATTAGATGTAGATACATTCTGACATCACGAGTAGGGCGTTTCTGTGCCGCCATTGGTCGAAGATATGTTCTAACGTCACGAGGGGACGTTCCTATGGCACCATTGGTCGAGGATATGTTCTACGTCACGAGTGGGGACGTTTTTATACCACCATTGGTCAGGCGTTTATTTGAGGGCGTTTCTATGTCACCGGTATACGATATGTTCTAACGTCACGAGGGGACGATCCTATGTCACCATTGGTAGAGGATATGTTCTAACGTCACTAGTGGGGCGTTTTTGTACCGCCATTGGTCGAGGATATGTTCTAACGTCACGAGTAGGGCGTTTCTGTGCCGCCATTGGTCGAGGATATGGTCTAACGTCACGAGTGGGGCGTTTCTGTGCCGCCATTGGTCGAGGATATGTTTTATGTAACATATAACATTATAACCCCATCATTTTTGTTTCAATCACCATAATTGTATATATATATATATATATATATATATATATAATCGGTTCAAAACGTCCTCCGACGTCTTCCGATGCCCAATCTCCATGCATCTCTATCTTCCCAAAGATCTTCGTCTAAACCTCTCTCTCGGATCTCTCTGTCTATTCCTTCTCTCCAGCTCTTTCTGGGTCGACCTCTTTTTCTCTTTCCATGTGGTGACCAATCTATAATCTGTTTGGGCAGACGATGTTCTGGCATTCTCTGCACATGTCCATACCACTTTTGTTGTTGTACTCTTATATCTTCGACAATCGTATGTGTGACTCCCATAACCTCTCGTATACGTTCGTTATTAATTCTTTCGAGTTTTGATTTTCCTGCGGCCCGTCTCCAGTAGTCCATCTCCGTGGCTTGTAGTGTTCTTTCAGTAGTTGCCTTTAACTGCCACACGTCACTTCCATACATTACTATGCTCTTTATAATAGTGTTGTATATTCGATGTTTATTTTTTTTTGGATATATGTTGATCCCAGATAATACTATTTAGTTGAGATATGGCCCTTCTACCCTGAGTGTTTCGTTTTTTTATAGCCTGATCTGATTTGCCGTCGTCTGTGATTTCTACTCCTAAATAGGAATATTTATTGTTGCACTTAATGTGTTGTCCGTCGTTTAAAACTAGATTTTGTTCTTTACCACCGATGCTCATGTACATTGTTTTATCTATGTTGACTTCTAATCCCCATTTTTTGTATTCTTCGATTAATTTTCGAGTCATGTATTCTAGGTCGTCATATTCGTTAGCAATCACAATTTGATCATCAGCAAAACATAGAGTGTACAGGTTGTTATTGTTTAATTGTATACCCATGCCGCTGCATTTCCGCTTCCAGAGTTTTAATGCTTGTTCCAGATATATTTTGAAAAGTGTCGGCGCTAAGCCGCATCCCTGCTTCAGTCCTTTGTCTACTACAAAACCTTTGGAAACATTCGTTCCTATTTTAACTTTGGCGTTGGCGTTCTCATATAGTTTTTCCACTGCTGTTATGAGATTTGAGTTGATGTTCGTTTGTCTGAGAGTGTTCCATAACTTATTTTGAGGGATGCTATCGTAGGCCTTTTTTAGATCAACGAACAAAAAGTGGACTTCTTGATCTACAGCAACCTTTTTTTCTATAAGTTGGGTGATACAAAAAAGGTGGTCTATAGTCGATCTACCAGCTCTAAAACCCGCCTGTTCTTCTGCCTCCATATCAGTGTATTCTCTTTCTATTCTATTTTTGATCATTTTCCCATAGATTTTACTAATGGTACTAGTAACTGCTATTCCACGGAAATTGTCGCAATTTTGTTTGTTTCCCTTTTTATGTAAAGTTGAAATGGTTTAGGTTTTAAATTCGGCTGGAACCTCTACTTTGTTTATGCAGTTTTGAAAGAGTATTGTCAAATGCTCATATAGTTTTTCAGTTCCATATTTTATCAGTTCTGAGGGTATATTGCCAGGTCCGGGCGCTTTTTTGTTTTTGAGTGAAATACAGATATCCCTTACTTCCTTTTTCGTGATTCTTATAGGAGATGCTTCAACGCGTATGTTTTGGTTACTTTCTTTTATTTTGAATTCCATTCGGTCTTCTTGTAACAGTTTACTGAAGTACATGTCCCATGTTTCTAACGAAATTGGTGAGATTAAATTTTTTTTCTTGTCGTTGGTCCTAAGAGATTTAATAAGTTTCCAGCTTTCTGTACTTCTAGTTCCTCCTATGTACGTATTTAATTTTTGACAGTTTTGATCCCAGGATTAATTTTTTTTCTGTCTTATCATTTGTCTCACCTTAGCTTGATGGTTTTTGTAATCAGACCAATTTGTATCTGTTTTTGCACTTAAATATTGTTCATACTTTTGTTTCTTTTGTTTTATCGCTGTGTCTATTTCTTCATCCCACCAGTATGGAGTATTTTTGTTTTTCTTTTCGTAATATCCAAGCGCTTCTTTTGCTGCAGAGTGAATACTTTCTTTAATGTAATTGTAGTGGTCTTCGATGTTATTGAAATTTATGTTTTCAAGTTTCTCGTTCAGTCTGTTTTGATACAATATTTTTACACTATCTTGATCTAGGCTGATAAGATTATATCTTACATCTTCTGCCATCTCTGAGCGAACTACTGGTTGTTCATTCTGGCTTCTTCTTGAAAACATTATTTTTGCTTTTAAGAAATGGTGATCGCTTCCACAAACTGCGCCTCTATAAGCTCTTACGTCGTAGATTTTAAGATTTGATCTTTGGCGTACAATCAAGTAATCTATTATAGATTTTAGATTCCTTGTTCTCTGTCCCCAGGTGTATTTGTGTACTTCTCGATGCTGATAGAATCCATTTGTAATACGGAGCTGGTTCTGTTCGCATATTGTGATAAGTCTGGTCCCATTGTCATTTGTTATGCTTTCTCCGTAAGGACCAACTATTTTATAGTTTTGTTTTTTCCGACCCTGCCATTAAATAATTGTATAATAAATCGTAATTTTTTAACAAAAACGGGATTTTATCAATAGCATGTTGAATGTATGTCTCCGTAAGAACTAATATATCAAAGTTAACATTTAGAGTTGACAAAAATAAACAAAAATTATCAAAATTCTTACCTATACTGCTAACATTACAATGAATTGTTTTTAAGTAATTTTTTATCGTCACTGAGTAATCCTTATTAAAACTATCACTACTTAAACATTTTGTGTCCACTTATTCTTCTTCTTCATCTCTAACATAGATATCCATCTTTTTTAACTAGCACACACTAAATATCTTTAATATTATTGGTTTTATTTAGGTATTCAAGAACCTCTACTTGCAAAGAGTGGAAGACAATTACCCTTAGCTAGATCGGTGAGTCTACTGCTTTATCCAGATGTACCGATAGAAGATCCAATCT